CTAACACGCATTGTCGGTTTAGTCTTTCACCGATTGAAAAAGACACCAGAATCCAGTCTGGGGAATTTTATCCCGAAGCCTAAGCAGGGATAAGTCAACGCCTAATACGCGTTGCCGGTTTAGTCTTTCACCGATTGAAAAAGACACCAGGGTACAATTTTAGGGACTTTCATCCCGAATCCTAAGTAGGGATGAGTCAACGCCTAATACGCGTTGCCGAATGCCATGTTCCCGTAAGAAATGGCGAAGTCTATGTATTCAAAGTCATAGCATCAAGTCTAAGGGAAGCAATTCTCTTAGCACAACGTTACATGTGAAACGGGTTTTAAATAATTCACATACTAGCCCGATTCAAACGGTAATCGGTAAAGGCACGTCAAACCCGTTGATGGCTGGGGGTTTGCCAAAAATCCCAAAGTCTATGTCTAACAGGACAAAAGCCCACATATTCAATATTATGGCAGGTTGTTATTAATAACGCCAAAATCCGTGCTTCACATGCACGGGGAAGTTTATCCCGAAGCCTAAGCAGGGATAAGTCAATGCTTAACACGCGTTGTCGGTTTAGTCTTTTACCGATTGAAGAAGACACCAGAATCCGAGTCTGGGGATTTTTATCCTGAATCCTAAGTAAGGATAAGTCAGCGCCTAACACGTGTTGCCGGGTAGTCTATTCCCGTGAGAAAGACGAAGTCTACGTATTCAATGTCGTAGCATTAAAAGAGTCAACTCTTTTAGCACAACGTTATGTGCAGAACGGATCTGAACAATCTGCATGCTAGCCCGACTCAAACGGTAGTCGGTAAAGGCTCATCAAACCCGTTGATGGCTAAGAATTTGCCAAAAATTCTATAAGTGCGAGTCATTGATGCATCAGCTCTGCTAGTTGGTCTCATGACTCGATTATCCAATAACATTAAAATAAGATCCACAAATGCAGATGAATCAGCTTTAACAGTTGGTCCTGCAACCCCGACACTTGGGACCGCTGTGCTCCAATACCTTAAGAATACTCCAGTAAACGTACGAGTATAAACTATGTTAACGTACGACGTTCAAAAACCTAGGGTCAACGCCGGTCAACGCGTAACCCTAGGTCAACGCCGGTCAACGCGTTGCGACAAAAAGTCAACATTCGACGTTCGAAACCCTAGGGTCAACGCCGGTCAACGCGTAATCCTAGGTTAACGCCAGTCAACGCGTTGCGACAAAAAGTCAAATGTTCGACGTTAGAAACCCTAAGGGTCAACGCCGGTCAACGCGTAACCCTAGGTCAACGCCAGTCAACGCGTTACGATAAAAAGTCAACGTTCGACGTTAGAAACCCTAAGGGTCAACGCCGGTCAACGCGTAACCCTAGGTCAACGCCAGTCAAGGCGTTGCGACCAAAAAGTCAACGTTCGACGTTCGTAACCCTAGGGTCAACACCGGTCAACGCGTAACCCTAGGTCAACGCTAGTCAGCGCGTTGCGATAAAAAGTCAACATTCGACATTCGAAACCCTAAGGTCAACGCCGGTCAACACGTAACCCTAGGTCAACGCCAATCAACGCATTGCGACAAAAAGTCAACGTTCGATGTTAGAAACTCTAAGGGTCAACGCTGGTCAACGCGTAACCCTAGGTCAACGCCACTCAACGCGTTGCGACAAAAAGTCAACATACGGTGATCTGAAACCCTAAGTCAGCATAATATGACAGAGATAGTCAATTCAAAGTCAACTCAATGACACGAGCCAAACTCAACTCACTAGTGATAGACTCGAGATTCCGACGACGGCCAGGCGATAAACGCAGCGCCGGAAGGACTTCAGTTATTCGTCAAAGCATCGAATAGACCGAAAATCGAAGGAGCCAAGAGTTGAAGCTAACTACAGGTCCTTTACACCGACTGAAGGCTGGATCAATCACATCCAAAGTATTCCAGCCTCTTCTATAAAAGAAACGAGTTTGGAACGCTTTGGAGGGGGTATCTGTAGGCATCGAAAATTACCTATGGGTCTCCACGAACAGCTCAGTGTTAAAGAACGACAATGAACATCACTATCTGGTTCACAGGAGTTCGACTGATGTCGGTGAACGCTTGAAGTGAACCGACAAACTACGTGAGCTGACAGAATTCCGGAATAACGAAGGTGCGGGCTAATCGGGAGCCCCGCAATGTTTACAAAGGGAACAATGCCCTTCGTGTCTCATTCATTCTACAGATAATCTGTCTCGGTTTAGCCGAGACACCCCAAGGGTGTCTCGGCAAGGCCGAGACACCCCTAGGGTGTCTCAGCGCGGATTTGGGCCCTTTAAGTGGTTTTAACCGCTCCGCAACCCCTCATGCCTATAAATACAAGCCTTAGGCCTCATTTTTTCAGATCTGGAGTTTTGGAGAATTGGCGAAGCCCTGCCGGAGTGAAGAGTGATCGAGCACTTCAACGCAAGAGAATTTCTTCGTCAGATCTACATCACCCGTACCTGATCCTTAGTATTATCCCGTTGTGGTAATACTAAGAAAAGCAAATATCTCGCTTTTATCGAGATAGCCGCTTCAAGTTTCTAGATCTCCTCGCGGATCGACGAAGCTCTGGATCAGATCTGATTGCCAGGTAGTCCACGGATATCGACGTCCCCGTCACAGGCTAAAGACCCACGCAAGCAAGAGAGGACGAACGGATCTTGTGTTTATTTTCAAGAAAGTTATAATCTTTTTTATTATTTCTTTGTTGTTTGAATTCATTTGTAACGTTTGAAGTTTAATGAAATCAATGATGAAGGCAACTTTCGACGAAAACAGTATCCAAACAGTAGTATAATTAGCCAAACATCTCCCCAATCCGAATCCAAACAGAACTCGAAAACACGTCCAAATCATGTGGGACCCATCAGTGTGTTCATACTCTGTAGTCGATAGAAAGATCTGGCAATTTGTGGCTCAATATGAGCCACCGGTGGGTGGCTTTCAATGCATCCAACTTCACAGAAATTAATCAGCTTCATCAATAATTTCATCACAATTTGCAGGTCTTGTATAATCGCCCTTATAAAAAACGTGAACTCTGCTATGGTGCCATCTAGTTTTCATGGCAGAGTATACATAGAGGTTTTCCTATACCATGAGCGTATCAAGGTTCTAGTATTTTGCTTCGAAAAAGATAATTCACATTCTTGAGATGCATAAATTTATCCATCATGCAACTCTCTTTATTGATGGGGTCAGCATTAAGAGGATCAGATTGACGAGCAATTCGTTCATTCTCTATTATTTTTACCAAAAGCAATTTGCTCAGTAGTATTATCAAAATGCTTTTGATTGAGCTCCTTACGGGCTTGTGGTAAGTTCTCTATGTTCGGAATATAAGCTGTTTAGACAATAATTAGCATTAAATGCAGTTAATAATTTTCAGATAATAATAAATTAATATTGTAACACAGATGTAATAAATAATTCAAACGAAAAGAAATGAGGGTTAGAAATACGGCCTGATGATCGAGGCGTGCAAGCACTGTCCCAAGAATCTAATTGCCCCCTCTCGTACAGGGCTACGCAGCAAAAGTTCTCGGAGATACAACGACCCTCGGTCAGGCGACCTCCTTCTCGTCTGCACGAGCTTCAAGAAGGCTTTGCGAATTCTTCTAGACTTTCAGGGAACCAGCAAATCGTAACAGTAAGTAAATTCAAGAGGAAGAACAGAGAAGGAGAAGAACGAGATTGTTGTATTTCACTGCAGGTCGTGTGCAAGAAGGCTTTGCGAATTCTTCTCGACTTTCAGGGAACCAGCAAATCGTAACAGTAAGTAAATTCAAGAGGAAGAACAGAGAAGGAGAAGAACGAGATTGTTGTATTTCAATATAGGTCGTGTGCGCGCGCGCCACCCGACCCGAACCCGAGCCCGAGCCCGACCCGGCCGACGCGCGTGTGTGTGGTGTGGAGCATAACCTTTATTTTCTTCTAGGCATATGAGAGAAAGGGAAGGCTTATAAAGACCCTTCCTTCCTATTCCATTTCCTATGTGGGACTAAACTTTCTCACTACAATGTCAAGTTTTAAGTTATCTTTATTATAACTCCAACACTCTATCTGTTTGAAAATTGTTCGTCTCGTCGTTTCCCTATTGCTGACATGATCGATTGCCCTAATTAGACAGAAGATCTAGTTTTGTAGATCTTAGTGAAGCTTCAGCAAATCGCATTGTTTCTCAACAATTAGTAACAAAGCTGATTGTTTCTCAACACCGCCGAGTCATTATTTTCCTTTCTCGTATGCTTGAATATATGTTAAATCTTTAAAATATCGTATGGTGGGATTCACCTATCTTTTATTATATTATATATTTCCTCTAAATAAATCATCTTAGTTCCCACCAAAAGTCATCTTAATTCCCACCAAAAGTTAGTTAACTCCCTTAACCCCCTCTACGCACCCCTCCCTTCAACCCATAGCGAAGTTCATTCCTTCTTTCAAGGCTTCTCGTATCATTTCATGCTCTTATTTTTAACAGAACATGAATGGAAACTTAAAAAATTGAAAATTATTGGCAATTCTCTAAAAGAACCATTATAGTTTATAGTTGTTTCATATAAAACCCCTATTTAAATATTACCGAAATATCAGTGTGTTTTTGTAAGAATGACAGAAAATATATATATGCGTTTTAAAGTTATAATTTATCCTTGTCATTTTAATATTCATCAAACTTGCTTTATAATTATCAACTAATAGTCACATGTACGTTTATGGGAAAATGCATGTAATCATTATATCGTTCACTAAGCTAGTTTTTATATATATCCAAATTAACTTGGAATCAATTGACTTCCAAACATTCACCCGCGGAAAAAACAATGAAAAGGTGGACGTAAGTAACACGCAACACATCAACCAAACATAATTAGCTAGTAAACCAAAGCATAAACAAAACATTCGTGCTCCATTGACTATGTGACATCACCAATCCAAAAGTCTCAACCATTCACCACTCCCAACATTGACAAAGCTCAAAGCCGCATAACATCACCAATGCCTAACATGCACATCATACTCCACAACCGCATTCCCTGTCTTAAGATCAAACGCATAAGTCTTAGCCAGCACATACCCCTTGGCAAACCTAAACTTTCCACTCCCTCCGATCACCGGCATCTCCCTTACCTCATCGAACACCGCGTTCCGACCAAGAACCACCAATGTGCTCCCGTTAAACTCCTGGTCGACGAAGGAAAACGTCATAGCCATCATTAATCCGGCTTCCTCTTGCGACGCGAGGGCGTACATGCCTTGTGCGTGTCCGATGAGCTTGGAGTCGAGGTCGGATGACTCCGTTAGTGGATCGTCGATCATGACGAGCGCACCGAATAAAGTCTTTGACGTGTCGGTGGTGTTGGCCTGAGCGATTCGCATCGCCGTTGGGGATTTTCCAATAACTATGTCGTGGAAGTAGAAGTGGAGGTGGGTTTCCTTTTCGTTGGAGGAGATTGAGGTGGAGACGACGAGGGAGAAGGAGAGGATGAAGAATGTTAAGGGAAGTGGTGAGGCCATTGATGCGAGAGGCTTAGTTAGCAGTCTAAGTGGAGTACTCTAATTGGTTAAGCGCTTTGGGAGAGAAGTTTGATTTGTAAGCATGCATCTATATATAAACGAATTCGTACTAAGAGTGGTTAGCGGTAGGTAAGAAACTAAGAGACCAACCTCATCGAGAATCTGACCGAGTGCGAAATGTAGCGGATTGTAATGCTCTGTCGGTGTTTAGTGGAATTGTGGGACGCATATCTGTATAGTTTTGACTTGAGGGAGTAGTAGAGATAATCATCTTGTGTCCAAGTACGGGATTGTTTAACTTCGCGTGCTCTTCTTCACCTAATTAACATTATTCGTCGTCTAATTGTTGCCTAAATTATTTGATTTGTATTAAAAGTAGGGGTGGAAATTTATAACCCGACACATCAACCCGACCCGACCCGACCCGTTTATAATTGGTATGGATTGAATTACATGAGTCGGGTTATAAACGGGTCAACCCAGTTTTACCCTTTTGTTAAATGGGTTAATTCTGGTTAATCTGTTGACCCATATGACACAAATCACCAACCCATATAACACAACCAACCCTTTGTGACTTCGTCCCTCACTCCCTCATAAACGCGTCACTGTAGAGAAAGAAAAAAAAAAACCCTAAGATTTCCCAGGGCGGCGGCGCGTGGCGGCGAGCATTGCGATGCGAGCGCTTGAGAGCGGCCGGCGAGCAGCGAACGTAGAGCATCGGCAAGCGAGGAAGTGTCTGCGGCGTCGATCGTTCAACACCAACGCTTAGATGAGGAAGGTTTGATGACAATAATGAGGAGCTCGGTTTGTGGATTGCGAGGTCGGGCGGAGTTCTCTCACCGGCCCGGGGGGCGATGTCGATTTCCCCTTTTTCTCCGGTAGACGTTGTAGGGTCGAAAAATTTGAAGGTTGATTGATTTTCTTGTTTTAAGAAATGGGTTCGATCACTTAGTACGAAAACCTTACAATCACTCACACTCTCTCTCGATTATAGATGAAGAGAATATTAATTCAGCCTCTCTTTGTTTAACGTGGGTACTTGGTAGCGAAAGGATGATTTCCTCGATGCTTGAGTCGAGATTGCCTCCCTTTGACGATCAGAACAGGATTGCTGGAGTTTCTCATGTTTGTTAGCCGGTTAGAACTGAGGTTCGAACTCCGGATCTGTACGCAGAAACTCTGATCTCCGATAATTCTTGAAGTCCAAGTCGAAATTTTCCAACCCCTATCCATGTAGCCCTCTATGGCTATTTATAGGGTTTAGGCACGTAACCGACGTGCTACAATCATGGTAGAGGTGCGTAACTGCCTCCTCCAAATCAGCGCACACTGTAATGTGCTTTTGAAGATTAGTCTACGTGGATGACTAAGTCCTCGGAGCCGTTACAAGTAGATCTCACGTGGATGACGGGCCTCGTCTTAAATTGAAACAGGGTTCGTCAAGTAAGACGAGCCTCGATACGCAGCGAGATTTGTCCTACCAAGCGAACTTTGTAGTAAACCAGTTTCTTTTGATGAATTTTATCTTCACTGACTTCATCTGACGAACTTCATCTTCACTTGCGAAGTTCGTCTCTGATAGCTGAGTTCAACTACGTAGCAAATCTAGTGGATTTTCCTTAGACGAACTTCGTCTTCACTGACGAGCTTCAAATCCAATGATGAGTTTTATCTTCACTGACAAACCTCATTCTTTGAAGATGAATGTCGAACCTCGTTTCCAATTATGAGCTTCACTGTTTGTTGTGGAGTTTTACTGCTCGATGGCTTGCATTCTCAAGGTTGATCTTCGTTAAATGACAAGCCTCGTCTGTGATTGAGACGGGGTTCATTTTCCTGACCATCCTTCTCATATTTTGAAATTTGGCATTTTTGAATGCCTACAAACCCCCCCTTCAAAGTTTTCAGACTTGAATTGGATTGTATGTAGTCTAAAATACTTTGAACACCTATAGGTGTCTTGAACTTACAGAGTTCGTCTGACGAACCAAGTTCCGTCATGACCTTCGTCATTACTACGAGGTTCAACATGGATATTACCCCGAAGTTCATTCTGGAGTTCGTCCCTCCATACGAGCTTTGTCAGGATAACAGCCATCTGACAGCTTGTGGTTTTGTCAGCAATGTTGTTATGCACCTTTTCTAGACCTAATAAATGGTTGCCAGCTGGTGTGTAGAGATCTCCGTGAATCTCGTCCGCAGATCTTGTTAGGGAATGATCTCATTAAACCATCTCAACTAAAGATCGTGACCCTTAATTTGACCTTTTCCCGCCCCTATATATAGGGCATCATCATATGAGAAGCCATTTCTTCCCTTCGTTGTTTGGACAATCTGAACTCCTCCTCTTCCAAAGTTTTAATCTTTTCTTCTTCGCGAACTTCTTCAAACAAAATCAATGGCCCTCAAGATTGCTGTAGACCGAAGCAAGGGTAAAGGTAAGAAGGCTGTCGGTTCTTCACACGAACCTGATGTTCTATCTGCTTTCTTAGGTAATGGATCTAAAAGCACGGTTTGTATTCTGAAAGATGTCAACCCTGTCTATTTTAGACTTGTGTTTCTTGAGGAAGATGAACAGTTTCTCCAAGACTCATCATAAAGAAGATGTCTTTTTGATTTGACGAGGCTCGTCATCGACGAGGCTTGTCTTCAGGACCTGTCTCATCCTTTGAAGAGTCTTATTTGCTAGTTAAGTCTCATGTGTCTAACGACGTTGGCTATCCTGACGAGGGTCGTCTTCAAGTTAAACGAAATTCATTTATGTGATGAACTTCGTCTTTCCATCGACTATGTTCGTTGGATTGACGAACCTTGTCTTCAAAATGATTAAATGCGAATCTCGTTTTGACCAACGAGCTTTGCTAGGCTGATGAACCTCGCTTTTCCTGTCAAGGTTTGTTAAGTAAACGAAGTTCACTCAGCCAACGAAGTTTGACATTTTGTTGTAATACGAGGGTCATCATTTGAACGACTCCCAAAATTCATCGCTGAAATGACTTTAGTGTCATTTGGCTGTGACTGCTGCAAGAGACTAATCTTGTTTGTCTTTTTGTGCAATTGTATATCCCTCTGTTCCACTTCCCCAACATGGTGATCTTGGAGCGGATGGTACTCAAGTGGCTGCAACTCATCCTCATTACTCTTCCCTACATCAACATTAGAGTTGGTGAAAGGTGGTTGAGGCTCTATTTTCGAGGTGTGATGTAGGTGTCAGATTAGGTCATATCACTACCAAGCTGTTTGGAGCAACTTGATACCAAGGTTCTCCATTTTTCTTATATATATATATATATATATGAGAAAAATGGAGAACCTTGGTATCAAGTTGCTTAAAGCAACTTGGTAGTGATGTGGCCTAATCTTGTCCCTACATCACACCTCGAAGATAGAACCTCAACCACCCCAGTGCGGCGAGGCGGGGCGGAGGCGGCGCAGTGTGCGAGCGGAGAGCGTCGGCGAGCAGCGAACGTAGAGCATCGGCAAGCGGAGAGTGTCTGCGGCTCGATCGTTCAACACCAACGCTTAGATGAGGAAGGTTGATGACAATAAGAGGAGCCTCGTTGTGGATTGCAGGGTCCGGCGGCGGAGTTTCTCGTCACCGCCCGGGGGGGGGGGGGCGACGTCGATTTCCCCTTTTTCTCCGTTAGTCGTTGTAGGGTCGAAAATTTTGAAGGTTGATTGATTTTCTTGTTTTAAGAAATGGGTTCGATCACTTAGTACGAAACCCTTACAATCACTCACACTCTCTCTCGATTACAGATGAAGAGAATATTAATTCAGCCTCTCTTTGTTTAACGTGGGTACTTGGTAGCGAAAGGATGATTTCCTCGATGCTTGAGTCGAGATTGCCTCCCTTTGACGATCAGAACAGGATTGCTGGAATTTCTCATGTTCATTAGCCGGTTAGAACTGAGGTTCGAACTTCGGATCTGTACGCAGAAACTTTGATCTCCGATAATTCTTGAAGTCCAAGTCGAAATTTTCCAACCCCTATCCATGTAGCCCTCTATGGCTATTTATAGGGTTTAGGCACGTAACTGACGTGCTACAATCACGGTAGAGGTACGTAACTGCCTCCTCCAAATCAGCGCACACCGTAATGTGCTTCTGAAGATTAGTCTACGTGGATGACTAAGTCCTCGGAGCCGTTACAAGTAGATCTCACGTGGATGACAGGCCTCGTCTTAAATTGAAACAGGGTTCGTCAAGTTAGACGAGCCTCGATACGCAGCGAGATTCATCCTACCAAGAGAACTTTGCAGTAAACCAGTTTTTTTTGACGAATCTTGTCTTCAGTGACTTTGTCTGACGAACTTCATATTCACTAGCAAACTTCGTCTCCGATAGCTGAGTTCAATTGCATAGCAAATCTGGTGGATTTTCCTTAGACGGACTTCGTCTTCACTGACGAGCTTGAAATCCAACGATGAGTTTTATCTTCACTGACAAACCTTATCCTTTGAAGATGAATGTCGAACCTCGTTTCTAATGACGAGCTTCACTGTTTGTTGTGGAGTTTTACTGCTCGATGACTTGCATTGTCAAGGTTGATCTTCGCTAAATGACAAGCCTCATCTGTGATTGAGACGGGGTTTGTTTTCCTGACCATCCTTCACATATTTTGAAATTTGGCATTTTTAATGCCTACAAACCCCCCTTCAAAGTTTTCAGACTGGAATTGGGTTGTATTTAGTCTAAAACACTTTGAACACCTATAGGCGTCTTGAACGTGTAGAGTTCGTCTGACGAACCTAGTTCTGTCATGACCTTCGTCATTACTACGAGGTTCAACATGGATATTACCCCAAAGTTCATTCTGGAGTTCGTCCCTCCATATGAGCTTTGTCAGGATAACAGTCATCTGACAGCTTGTGGGTTTGTCAGCAATGTTGTTACGCACCTTTTCTAGACCCAATAAATGGTTGCCAGCTGGGGTGTAGAGATCTCCGTGAATCTCGTCCGCAGATCTTGTTGGGGAGGTATCTCGTTAAACAATCTCAACTGAAGATCGCGACCCTTAATTTGACCTTTTCCCGCCCCTATATATA